CACTTAGGAAATCTTTAGAAACTGTTACAGAAGAACTGTGGAGTTTGTAGAAGCAGGGTGGGGGGTGAGGTATGAAATGATACAAGTTTGTTAATTTAATTGGACTTGTTTTGGGGGTTTGGCTATGTGTGTCTTGGGGGCGGGGGAGCAGCGAGGGTAGTATTTCTTGCAGAGAAAAGTTAATTAGAAGAACATGGGCCAAATGTTAATTAGCCTCACATCTTGAGCATATGGTAGTACTTCCTTGGCACTCTGTATTCCAAGGCAGCATTCTTTTTCTCTCCTGCATGTATAAGAAGGTGCTGGTAATATGCTCTCTGGGGATGGAGAGGAAATAAATGGTCTGTGTTGCCCCATGTACTATACTGTCCTCACATCAACAGAACAAAAACTTTCAGGAAGATGGTGCCACAGAAGAAAGCCCTTGTTGCAGTGAGTTAAATGCTTTCCTTCCCAGAGGGTATTTTGTCATTCATTATAAGCCCCATCTCCAAAAAGGTTATGCAGTTCAAACAGCTATCCAGAGATGGTAGAAAATTTTGAGGCCATTAGCCTCTCTCCACCCTCTCACCCACCACTGAAAATCTCGCCTCAAGTTCCCTGACACATATCCAGCCTTTGATGGAATATGAAACCAAGCCCACCATTTGTGAAACCATTCAACCATCCAAGCAAGAAAATTCGGTCAAATATCACTGGGGCAGCCCTTGGGAAACTTCTTATGACATTATGCTTCCTCTTGGCGACCAGCCACTAAAATGTGTAATTTGTGTTCATAGGAGAACTAGTAAGAACTGGACAAGAGATAGAGTTGGCTCTTAACCCTGCCACTAACACACTCCATCATTTAGATGATTGTGCTGCCTTGGCCTCAGTTTTCAATAAGTAAAATTGATAATATTCCCCAGATATTGTTGCTAATTCCCTCAGAACAAGAAAAACTTGCCAGTGATTAAGTAATGCACAGACCCTTTCAGCAACTTGAAAAGGAATAACATCAGAGTTTCTAAACGTTGCTGTTGGTGTTCTGAAATGTAAGCTGTCGCAAATACCGATCAGTCCATTGTCAAGCTCTGACCATCTGGACAGGTGTGACCTCCCTGAGACACTGTTTCACACCAGCCCCTCATGAAGCTGAGACCTTCTCTGAGGAAAGGACTGAGAGTATCTATGATTCACCATTTGGCAAATGGTTCTAATTCCCAGCCTTTGCTCAGGGGAACAGATATGTTAGAGACACAAAACAAAAACCAACTAATGTACACAGAGAGAGAAAGAAAACAAAAAAGAGAAATGCTTTGGCTATCCTTATAGTATCTATTAATTCCTTGACACTAAACTAGAAAGCCTATACTACAATGGTTCACACACACTCTAGCTCACAAGTTCCAAGTGTGGATGGCAAACAATACATCAATTTCAATGACTCTAAGGAAAAGGCCAAATAAAATGCACAAATATTTTTAACATGTCAAATAGCGTCCACCAGAGAGATGTGTAGTGAATTGACCATAATGACTCAAAAAACTATATCCAATTCGGTTCAAATTGACAGGTAACAAAAGGCCTATGATGACATGTAAAAACAGAGAAAGGCAAGATGCAAAGCTGTATAGGCTACTTTCTACTTTCTCAATTATGTTTCTAAAAGAGGCATAAGACCCTAAAAGAGCTAGAAGGCAATATGCAAAAATATTCATGGTAGTTTCCCTGGGGCATTTTTTTTTTTCCTACTTCACAGACACTTTTTAAGCAATTTTTTCATTTCTCTACAGTGAATATCCAGTGCTTTTATTATGGGAAGAAGATAAAAGATTGGTGAATATTAAACTTAGCAAAAAGAGCTTAAATTAACCTGAACAGAAAATTTAAAAAAAAAAAACTAGGCCGGGCGGGGTGGCTCAAGTCTGTAATCCCAGCACCTTGGGAGGCCGAGGCGGGTGGATCACGAGGTCAAGAGATCGAGACCATCCCGGTCAACATGGTGAAACCGCGTCTCTACTAAAAATACAAAAAATTAGCTGGGCGTGGTGGCGCGTGCCTGTAATCCCAGCTACTCAGGAGGCTGAGGCAGGAGAATTGCCTGAACCCAGGAGGCGGAGGTTGTGGTGAGCCGAGATCACGCCATTGCACTCCAGCCTGGGCAACAAGAGTGAAACTCTGTCTCCAAAAAAAAAAAAGAAAAAGAAAGAAAAAGAAAAAAAAAAAACTAGTCTCTACTAAATTATTTTATAATATGACTAAAACCCCCTGCATCTGTTTTTTCATAAAACTTGTTTTCTCTTGATTCAACTATGGGCTAAAATGGACAAGGTCCTAGACCAGGAACCAGGAATTGTAGATTCTAGTCCCAATTCCCTCCCTCTCATTCCTTTGGCTGGCAGAAGGTAACAATCATTTTGTGCCTCGGTTGATTTTTCTGCATATTAGATAACCAGATTGCAGTAGAGGAGGTAGAAGAGTAAGTAGCGAGGAAGGTAAGAAATGGTCATCACAATGCTATTAGTTATTATTAGTTAGCACAACACTGTCTGTGTTATACGATCCAACATATTAGTAAGTATTCTATACTTAAGCAGTGACTTATAGGTCACCAGTCTTGCTCTAGCTTCTTCTGGAGTTAACAGGTAAACCAAGGTGTTAGACAGGAACTCTCTGCTTCCCATTTTTCTTTAAAATATTTTTAAGAAAGCCAGGCAAGGAAAAGTAGTGTAGGCACCTCTTGTTTAAATAGAGTCATTACAGAGAGGTGATATCGCCCATTGGTTACAGAAATCCAAGTCTGAATCCAATTCTCCTACTCCATTGTTTCAGAACTACCTTTGCCAAGATATGATTGACTCATGGTCCTTTGTTCTCTAACTTTGCCTGAGGAAATAAGGAGAACTTCGTGTTACTTGTCTCTTTTCGAACTCAGCGGGGTTGCCACAAAAACCCAGGCAGCACAAATTCCTTGTGGTGGTTTGAGGTAGAAATGTATGGCAGAAATGCAAAATACCCTGCATATTGCAATGTAACAAGGAATTAGCATAATAGGTAAGATGTAGTAAAGAAATACAGGAAAAAATTGCCTATGGAATTTTTCGTTGCTTAGTACTAGAATGATTCCGCCCTACCATCAACTCTAGAATCATAGCCAGGCTTCTTGAAGTCAAGGATTAACAGTTAGGAGATCAAGTTCTAGCAATTCTACGTACATAATACTTATATAATACAAAAGAATACACATCATAACATGCAAGATAATACACTTATACAAGAAACTACAAGTTTCACTTATAGAATACAGGTTCATGTTACTTTTATTACTGTTGAATAAATAAGGTACTCAGAAATGCCAACGGAATCCTGGATCTCACTTTACAGAAGCAGCTAGGGTGGGAGTTTACTTTTTTTAAAACTTTCAACAAAATCGTGTTCATAATAAGCTTTTCTATGACCCCAAAACTACAAACGTTAAAAAAAAAATCACAGAGATAAGTACTTCTGATGCTACTTCTATGTTGTGGAAGAAGCTTATATGCTATGAATCTGGGCATTTTAAGGATGACTCTATCCATGTAAGTCCATGATTTTCATGCAGAAATCACACTCACAAATGCCAGTACTTGGAAACAAAATGTATTCAAGTCCTGTAGGAAGCACTTTTATTGTTTTCGTGTTGTTATTTTTCAGCTGAGGTTTAAAGTCACCTCATTTTTTTTTTTTTAAATCCCAGAATGTGCTATAGGAATCTATGAAACTTAATTACATTTACTGTTACAAAAAAGGATTTATGAACTTTTGCCTTTAGGCGGAAATGTTTATTTCATTGCCTTTGCTATCCATTCTTTTCAACTCCTCCGGCTTTGAACTTTTCAGCTGCTCACAGTTATCACCGTGGTGCAGAGCCCAGGAACTCCACTCCCAAGACACACACCACAAGTTGAAGAAAACGAAGAAGGCAAAGATATATGAGTCGTTATTTTGGCCACCCTTTGTGCCATTAAAATCTCATTTTCTGCCTATTAGAATGCCCTCTTGGTGCTTAGGCAGAGCGGTGATAGTCAGTGATTAGTGTGTAATTGAGTATAATTGTCTTTTCACTTTTCATTTGTGTCATTCGGAGCTTCTCTCTGTTTTTCTAACCACCAAGAGGAGAAGGGGGTTGAGAACAGATAAAGCTGTTTCAAACTCTCTGAAGAGATTCTCGATTGCAATTATAGATTGGAACCCCTTATGACATTTCTCCAAATGTAGTGGGCAGCTATCCTCACCACCTGGGCCAAGCACTCTCTAATAAAATCAAGGGATCTGTATTTAAACAACTGCTAATAATGTCAACCTCAGACAGATGCCACATGTAGGAAATTTAACCAACCCTCTCACATGCAATTATCAAGGCAATTTATTAATATGATCTCCCAAGAAAAGCTCACAGTCTAATGCAAATTAGAAAAACAATTACAACATTCAAATATTTATATAGTCCCAAAGAGCAGTAATTCCCCTAATTTGTGCATTTATAACTCATTTATTCCAGAGTTCGTAGTCATCATCTGGGTCTCTCTCCACAGGAATTGTTTGCTTCCTGACTGTTTTGTCAAATCTTTAGTGTTTCCTTGCAAGGTGCTTTTGCTTGAAACCTCATCAGCTCCAAATACAAATAAATAAATAAATAAATAAAACAAAAAGCCTCCCACTGTTTGCAGGCTTCTTAACCAAAGCCCAGAACTAGGATGGAGAAGACAAAACATGGCAAACACCTTCACAACTAAATATTAACGTAAAGTCTCCAGGATTATATCAAAAATCACTTGAATTTTAAGTCTAAGCTACAACTTTTGATGCAGCCAGTAGGAAGGGTGGAGAGAAAGGAAACTAGAAAACTGAAATCATGTGGCTTGTATAAAGAATACATTATGGTTTAAATTTGGCAATTCATTACACTACTGCCTCAGGGAATTGAGTATTTGGTTCTGGTATATAGCAAATCATCTGTCTAGAAACACGGGACTGACCTGAGGTGAAAGGCCATTGCCAATGGTGGGGTTCATGGGGTTGGAGGGCCCCGACGGAGGCACAAAGCTGTCTGTATAGCTGGAAAATCCATGCCTGGTGCTGGGGAGGCAGTAGGCAGAGCTGCTGTCTGGGTTGGAAGGAATCGTGCTTTGGTGTACTGTGCTCGGAGGAAGCGGTTGAGGTCTGTGAACCGTGCTGCTGGGATCCGACACGGCTGAAATGAAAAAGGTTGTCAACTGTCGTGTTTTCTTATAGGCCAGCAGAGAAAATTCAGTGCAAAAGTTCATCAGCCACCAAGCCACCAGGAGCATCTATTGGTCAAATCAAATGTTCACTTCTAACTGCATTTCTTAACATGCAGGTGTAGAATCACTCGTAACAGATACAGTCATATTATCTCTGCACATATTTGCAAGTAACATATATACTCTCATGACATGCTTACCCAGAATACAAATGCAGAAATCATATTAGCAATGCTAACAAGCATATTTTGGTAGTGCATGTTATTCGTCAATATGATAATCAACTAATGTTAGGACAGCAAGTCTCAAATTTCTCATCTAATATACTTTTAAGGCACCTAAATAGTTGTGCAATAATACAGTTTCAAATGCCTGCAATGCTCTTTCATAATCAGAAATAATTGAGTCTTAGAATTTAACATTATCCCATTCACCTCTGTGTGCTAACAAATAATGACTTTGTCAAAATTCACCTTCCTTCCATTATTCCTACAGTTAGTAAGCATCACAGAATTCCAATTAGTTGCAAATTGGAGTAAAATGTAGAGGTAAAATTTTAACAAAAGAAAAGCAAATCCCATAGTTATTTAGGAAGGTTGTTTTGTTTTAAAATACTGCCATGGAATTATATTACAGCACAGTTTACCTAGAGATATTCAGATACATCATAGAACAAACTATGTTTCTGAAATGTGATAGGTACTTTCAGGACAACCTGATGTATTATAATTAACATACGAACAACACGGATGTCAGCACTGCAGAAGGATTCACTTGTATAAAATATCCACCAGAGAAATTGCCTGAAAGTTACTTTTTAATTTCCTTGACTCTTCCTCTATACCTTGTGGAATAGATGTGGGCTGGTAAGAGGTCTCCGACAGCTGGTATGTTGGCAGGGTCGGCATGGCAGTGGGAGGGAACCCCCCCGGAATGAGATGGTTGAAAGCCATCAGTTGATTGGCCCCAGCTTGCTTCCTCCATCTTGCACGGCGGTTGCTAAACCAGACCTATGGATTTAATTTAAAATTTAAGGATTTCACTGATGAAATAATAGTACATTCTTAATGAATTTTTCATGCTAAAACAGATTAAAGGCCCCTTACTGACAGGGCAAATAGATGCAAGAGTTCTCTGCCTTCTGTGTTATTTGGGTGAACTGTCAGGGGTCAAAGAAGTGTTCAGTGTCAAAGGTCAGTAGAGGGGCTTCAGGGACCCTCCATGGTCTTGCAACAACAGCCCCCATCTACCTTATGATGGCCATGGGCAGGAATCACTGAGCTTCTCTCCCTACCCTCAACACCCACCCACCTGCATGTAGACAGACTTCCGAGGAGGACACATGAGCCTCTGTGATCCCTGCAGGACACATGTCCTAAATTTGGCCTTGCCTATTACATCAAGATTTGTATCTTATATTCTGATTAGTCTATCTCTGTATTTCTGTGGTCACTATGAGTATAGCTTCTGGATGGTCACATAAATTGAAGAAAGGATATGTGGAGTAGTTTTTTCATCTCTTCCAAAATATGAGACATTGCACTGATCTTGGTGGAAATAAATGCCAAAAAGGTAAGTGTTTCAAGAAATGAAAGCCTTTTTTATCTAAAATAATTTATTTTTGCCTTACTTCTTTCAACAACGGCTTTAGGCTCCTAGAATACTCTGTGTCAAGCACTATGCCAGCGGGTGCATTCAGAAAAGCCTGATACAATGTAATAAAATAACCTCAAGGAATTCAAAGCTCAAGTATTTTGCATGAGGCAATGGAGAGAAAGGGCAATCAGGCAGCAAGAAACATCTAAAATGTTGAAAAACTGTGATATAACACCTTTAATGGGTCCCATGCTCCTGCCCAACTCCTGCTTCTACAGAGTTTAAATGTTGGACTTGGAGTGATTTTTCCACGAAGCACACATGATGTTTCCCCCAAAATGAGAGAGGATTTCTACCAGTTAAAGATATTCAAATTCCTACATCAAAAGTTTATTGAAACTTTATTTTTTTAAAGGCAGAGTCTCCATTGCACTCTAGGCTGAAGTGCAATGGTGCGGTATCAGTTCACTGCAACCTCCGCCTCCCAGGCTCAAGCTATTCTCCTCCCTCAGCCTCCTGAGTAGCTGGGATTACAAGTGCTCACCACTACACTCAGCTAATTTTTGTATTTTTAGTAGAGATGGGGTTTCACCATGTTGGTTAGGCTGGTCTCAAACTCTTGATCTCAGGTAATTCACCCACCTCAGCCTCCCAAAGTGCTGGGATTACAGGTGCGAGCCACCCATTGAAACTTAATATGGAAGAAAGCACCGTGCTTGGGGTTGGAAGGATATGAAGGAAAGAAAGTAGTGTCCCTGCACTCCCGTAGCTTCCTGCCTTGTTCTCATGGGATTCACAGCACAGTCAAGGAGACCAAAATAATTACTCCCTAGAGGTAGAAACTCCGTATTTGGAAGCACAGAGAATCAGGAAAACTCTCAAGTGGAAGCAAAAAGTTTCAGCTCATTTTAAAGTTTGATTCTAAGTTTGACAAGCCATCACTCGAGGCGGAAGTGACATCTCCTTCCTGCCGTGCAGGGCAGGAAGATGTGGCTTGTTCCAGGAGGCCAGCTTGTCTAAGAGAAGATGAGACTTGATTTCCTTACAAAATAATGTTAACAATTTTGCAACTTAATTGTCATTTTTAAAGTCAGATTATTAAAGAGGGGAGGGAAAGATTTCTCTTTTCTGGAGCAGGGGAGCCCAATTTAGCAAATCCTTTGCCAAGGGATTTGCTGAAACGTTTTGGAACTCATCCAAGCATTTGTCTGAGAAGAGTTTTATCTTCTCTCGCCATTGTTGCAAGATACTGATAAGGAAAGCTGTTTGAACTTCCTCAAAACATCAATGTTTAATACTCCTTAAGTTTCCAACAGGAAAACGAAGTAAGTTAATATTTTCCCATGTTGATAGATAATTGAATTAGAGTTTTATTTAACTTAATAAATTGCCACCTGGGGTAAGAGAACCGTGAATAGCACTTAATTTCAGACCTGCATCAATTGTGTTTTCTCACTGCAAGTCTGAGCACCTGTTACCAGGACTCCCAAAGGCATCAGGATAAGAAAACCATTTTCAAGAAAGTTCAGGGAACAAACTGTGTTAGCCTGGGGAGGCTGAGGGTGAGAAATTAGGGTCATGTTCATGCCTGAGTGCACTGTGCCATACCACACTCTGTGGTTGTAGCTTATATTCTAATACTTCAAGATTAAGGAGGTACTCCCTGCTCAGATGAGGTAGTCCTCTGCAACTATGTATGGTGCATCTCCAGCTTTATATACTAGGCTGGGAGGAGAATCAGACCCTCAAAAGTTCTGATGTAACTTCACTGATGAAGATTTACTCTCCTCAACTCCACTGGTGAAATGCTTTATCTTCATAAACTCAGAAACGTACGCTTTGGTTGTTAGATTTGTTGCCAATCTCTCTGTGCCACCTGCCTTCTGTAGCCTTCAGATAAGTAAACCCAGGGTGGTGAAGCCTGATCTCTCCATCAATCTCAACTTACTATTGATTCAAGATTCATTCTAATGACACCACAAGCCAGTTTTAAAAAAAATGTATTTGTTCAAATAACAAAGAAGAAACATCATGAGTTTCTACATATACTTCAAAAGACAGAATCCAAACAGAGTAGGAGTATAAAGGTTTGGGGGTTTGTTTTCATATTTTCTAAAATGATATAAATAAGTATCAAAGACATTGAGTAAACCCAACAGAAGTTGCATTAAAAAGTCCTCATATTTATTATACGGTATCTATTATATCCACAACAAAAAATGAAGAGAAATAGTTGCGAAGCACATCTTCACTGAAAAACAAACCTTCAGCAGAAGGTTCAAGAGATTCCCAAAGGAAAGAATTTAAATGTTTAAATTTAGGCTCAATAAATCCAGAGGGCTATTCCTGACAGAACCAGGGCTTGGTGAAGACTGGCCTCCCTGTCTCTGGCCATTTAACCAGAGTCTTACCATTGCCAGCCTTCTGCATTGCCTAGAACCAGCTGAATTTGCTAAAAGAAGCATTAAAGGAAAAATATACTAAAGCTGCAAATTAAAAAGTGGTTTTGCCTTCTTGATACTTTGAAACTTAGAAAAGACAAATCTATCTTTAGTAGAATAAAAAGAGTGCCCTAGAAATGATATTCACTTTCAATACCTGAACCAACCAAGCACAGTGATCCTAGGAGGCTGTTATCAGCCCACATTTAACTGAAATGTTCTTGTTACTCATAAGTCTTAGATAACTCTTTCAATATTGAATCACAAATTCCTAATAGACAATCAATGAATAATCTATGGAATGGCATGTGTGAGTGTATAACACTGAATATGTTCCTCTAAAATATACATATTTATAATTCAGTGGTTACACTTTCTAGAAATTTCATCATGTTTTGAAAACAATAGCAATGACAACAGAGGCAAATTGGACTATGACTGATGTTCTAAGAGAGAACAGAAATTTTCTACCTAATGTCTTTGCCAGTAGGGTGGCAAGAACAAGCTTTTCAAATTTGGCTACACACCTTTAAACAAAATTCTATGATCTACAATTTGATGTAATTCTACCAACCCCACACAAGGTCAGTAACCTACAATTTGCCTCTCATTGCATGTATAATACTACATCAAACATCTCCCTCAAAGCAAGTTGTTATTTCATTTGATAAACTGCAGTCTGGTTCATTTTTATCTGTCCCCTGTCCTTCCCAACTTGGATCTCTCCCTGCTGAACCCTTACATAAAGCCATATTTCATGTCTTTGAAAAAGGATCTTTAGAGGCATTTCTCTAGTAGTATAATGTCCGATGATTTTTTTGAAACAAAATTTTAATTGGTTGAAAGAACCTCATAACATCATGATTATGAGGGGGGGAAAGATAATGAATTAGAGAAGAAAAATAGGATTTTCATAACTTTTTCTCTTCACGAGTAAGCAAACCAATTTGTTCAGACTCTCAACATTGTAAGTTTGAGGGGAAAAAACTAGTACTTTCTACAGTAAAGATACAACAATGCTTCTTAGTCACATAGATGCAATGCAGACCAGGCAAAAGTTGAATTTCAGCTCCTCCCTTTTATTAATACTTCTGGGACCATGAACAATTTGCTTAATATCTTGGGGTCTCTGTTTTCCCATGTGCTAAATGGGAAATACAAAAACTACTTCACAAGATTGTTGTGCTGAATATATGAATATACAGTGCAATCTAAGCACTCAAAAGAATGTCAAGGAGATGTTAAGTGTTCAATAAATGTTAGCTATTAAGTAAAAGGTCTCACAATGACACTTCTATCTGAGAAAACCAAGAATTAAAGCTCTGTTTTGCTTCCTTCTCTATGTGATATCCAGCCAAAGCCTTTTGTGCCTGTGAGTAAACAGAAAAGTGCCCAGAGAACACCTCAAATAATTGAAAGCCAGTTTGACTTGAATGAAGGCTTAGGTCAAATTTGCTTCCAAGTTTCATGGATTAGTGCTAATTGTCCCATGGTGTCACCCTAATTTTGCCCATCAATAAATTACTGGTTCACAGTTTTGGTGTTGTACTCAGAAGGCAATTCAGCCTACATTATGCAAGATGGATTATTGCAAATGCAATTTGAAAAATGAGGAGATAACATCATAGTTAATCCTTAGAAACAGAATTCACAACAAGATTGTAAAACGTTTGGTTAAACACTAGACTCAGGGTGTGGAATGCTGCAATGCCAAGCACAGTACTTTCCAAGTAGGGAAATTCAGGGCAAGCTGCTCATTTCCCTGGACCTTTTCCTTCACTCTCATCTGTTTTCTCTTTCTATACCAGCCTCTCCCAGCTTTCCTATCCCTGCTGCTATGTAACTTTGGCCACCATTTGGCGAACTGGTTGGGAACAGGAGGGCAACGTTGAACAGGAGAAACACCATGCTCCCATGCATCTGAAAAGACCATGGACACACACAAAAGCACACTCAACTGCATCCTGAAACAT